TGTTTGTCTGTCTGTCTGTTACCGCATCATAGAATTTTTTTTTGAGATTTTGATGAAATTTGTTATACTTTTTACCGCGGGAAAATGTCTCATTTCTGAGAAAAAATACAAAATTTTTGGTCACCTGATCTCGGGCGGAGCCGCAGGCAATGCTAGTGTTTATTTAAAAACTTTTAGTCAACTTCAAGTTGTAATTCATTTCATAATGTCATTTTTTAACCAGTTAATTTTAATTGTAAACAAACTGTTTCTAGTTTAATCATATTAGTAATTTAAAAATCTGATTTTCATGACATTTTATCAAATACTAGCGATTTACCGTCGCTTTACACGGGTGCGTCCCAAAAGCTTGAACGGTTTGGTATTCCATAAATCAAAAATTCTTGTTTTTGGGCCAGGATAGTTTTTTTTTGCCGGTGTATACGCAATAAATAACCCATCAGAGTTTCATCACAATCATGAGATCAATGGTTTAAGAACTTGTAGAGGACAAACATATGAATATTCTTTTTTATTTATGTAGATTCTCCCAATGTATCACAAACAACAGCTTATAGATACTTATCGATACTGATAGCACGGCAATTGCTAAGTAGTGACAGAAATTTTGATAACTATGCGTCATAGTAATCAAAATTGGAATTCCATTAAAATAATCTTTTCCAGATAAGTGGCAAAATTAAGAGCTCTAGTGGTATCTTTTAGTCTATCCGTGCACAGAAACAGGGTTTTGGTGCAAAGATATTAACACAGCGTACTCAAAAGAACAACAACACCCTAATTTATCAGTGACCACCCTAAATTCTAAACAAGATTCAAAAGTAAAGTCGGCTATAAATATATGTATAAAATTCTGTATATAAAACAGATATAACCTACTGTTCGATGTATTATTATGCCTTATTATCATAGATATTTATAGAGATTATCTTAATTTTTAAAATAGTGCCATTAAGATTAAAAACTTTAGATAGCTATCAGTTATTGTATATATTATAAATAATCTAAATAAAGATTGGCCCCTTCGATAAATTCAATTACCACAAAAATAACACTGATGGAAAGCGAAAACGAAAAGTATATGAGAATAATGTAAGAAACACTTATTAAAATATATAATCAGCCAGCCCTATCGGTACTAAACATATTTTGTTTATATCGACCCCTTAATTTATTTATACGCTACAGTTGTGGTCCTTCGAGACGGATTTATCCACTTCATTAGTGGTCAGTTGAACTGGTTTTTCTAATCTTTTTTGATCCTTTTTTTATGTCGGGAAATGCATTTACGCATACCACCTGTAGATAAACAGGCGGTTATGTGGGATTCACCGGCTAGAAAAGTCAGTACTACCCACTAAAACCCAACAAAACCTCCCCCGTCTTAATGGGGCGTTTCAGGATCGCTTACACATTCAACTACGATGCCCCGACGGAAGTACTGCCAAAGCAGACCACAACAACCATGGGGTTGCTCCACTGTCCACTCTGCTATTAAAGAAGTACTAGGAGTGATGTTCTCCTGACCGATTCCGCCCACGGCGGCCCACCTCATTGAGACTAGCTAACTGCGCAGGAGATATTTTAGTGCACATGTGTACGCGTTGACACAAGTGCATTCTCTGTTCCTGTCACTCTCATACTCTGGTGGGACGACCATGACGACGACCACTCGACATGACCAGTGAGAGTTAAGGTGCAGGACCGACAGGTTTACGTGCTCTCCGAGGCACGGGGGTGAAACACCGCCGACTTCCCAACTCCGGGTTGTTACTGAGGCTTACTATACAGAAAGACTCAATAACTAAACTTGGCCTGACCCGGGACTCGAAACCAGGACCTCTGGGTGTGCAGCCGTACATGCTAGCCACTACACCACCGAGGCAGTTACCAGGAGTAACCCGCATGGCACGTACGTTGGGGGGAATCATTTTTGATCCTAATTTAACCCGCATTTTGATTCCTTTATATATATGAACCAGGATTTATTTTATATATTTTTTCTCCTACCTACTTTCCTTATACCGCTCTTTTAGTTTTTTTAGGTTTAAAAGTTTTTTGCCGTTTTTGAACTGTTTATTATGGCTCTGAATTCTAATCCGTCCTGGTCATAAAAATTATTAGATTAGGGTTCAGAACTTGGTAATATGTTACGATTTTGTGTCCCGATAGCACATAGATACTTTTAAGATTGACACGAGCATATCGTTTTTTTTATATTTTTTTATCATTTCTTTTTAATATATTGGTGTATCCTTGTTTTAAAATATATATTTGATATCTTACAATTTCATTTATCTAAATGATGATTAGCATCCCTTCATACTCTATAAGAAAAACTAATCCATGCAAAAATAGTGTACACCCATGTGTTGTTTACTTACTATGTGACAGAATAATAAATGAACAAACAAAATTTGATAATATTACTTAGTATAGATCTATTGATAATTTAGTAGTTTTTAACGGACCTTACTTATTTTGCGACCCAGTAGATTATCTCAGACCAGACTACTCAGACTCGAGTAGTACTCAGACTAGGACCTGGATTTAAGCCCGCTTCTGTTCATTTTTTAAACGAGCGTGTTATCCGCGGATTTCCACTGCTTTATCTAACGGTACCTCACGTGGGCTTTGAAGCGCAGACATTTCGTAGAAAGTGCTAGACAAAATAGTATAACAAGTGTTATCTACTTTGTAAAAACCTATACCTACATCATTAATTGTTAAAATATATTATAATAATTAATCCTCATTTGAATGTGCAATAGGCTTTAAAATTTTCGTTATCTACTCGTATATATATAGGTACATACATAAAATCAAATTATAATAAGCTTAAATGTTAAAATAGTACATTGAATTTTTCTTGTAAAAAATCCATTTTAATGATATTTAAGATTTAATAACATATGGGGCTTAAAAAAAACTAAAAAACACGCTTTTATTACACACAAAAAATTACAACAATTTCCACTGTTCACCTCCTTCTTCACTGTTAGACCCTCTTTACCAAGATTAATCTATGCCAATCGTCAAAACGAATCATATGAGCCGAAATTCGAGGGGTTTACTAGTAGACACTGAAGAATTCCACTATCCTCCTGGCTCTTTCACCAGATCCGATCATATCAGCTCCAATATACCAAATTATAGTACCTATTGTCGCCCGAACTACATTATGTATAAATATGTAGGGACATTAACACACAGCACCATCTAGTTCCATGGTAAGCTACGAGGCCTGTGTTATGGATAGAACCTAAATAGTTTCAAAGAACCCGTGAAGCCTGTAAACCCGTACTAGGCTAGCGTGATGGACTATGATCCCCTTTTGCAGTGAAAGGAGATCCGTGTGTGAAATCGACGACAGTTCATAGAATTGTTTGCCTATTGTCAATACAAATGGGATTTTGATAAGACTTTTGTGCTTATAGATTTTTAGTAAAAACTTATGTCGTGTAGTAAAAACTTATGGTTAAATTTTCACTCAACGCTTGAGCATGTTTCAAAGTTGTAATCTAAATAAGAATATACGCGCCGACAAAGCCATAGGTGATGCTAGTTAAAAATTAAATTTCTGAAATATCTTTTGATAACAAAATTTAGGTTGGCATATTTATTACACGATATCAAAACATCTACCAACATGATTAAAGTTTACGTCTGTGATTTCGAAATATTAACTTTCTTTAGAAAGCTCATAAAGGACCTTTGCATTTTTTTTATGTACATATTGAAAATAATCACTATTTAAAATTCGAGGAAAACATACATATTATACTAGAACTCGTCAAATAATTACAAAAAGACAAAGCAGTTCAGTGTCTTTTTCTCCTCTGTTTTTCAACCAATATTCTTTTTTTGTTCAGTAGCTATTGAAAAGCTTTAGTTATTAATATATTTTTTTGGATTTTTTTTTATATAGTTAGGTAAATTATATTCATATACGTTTTCCTCAAATTTTTAATAATGATTATTTTCGAATTTCGGCCACTGGGCGAACACTAGTTCTTATAATGTAGTTTTGCAAAATAAAGCAAGATAGGATGAGGATTTCAAGAACCTGTTTAAGAATTTAATTTATTATTGTGAGATTACTTACAATTTAGATTGATTGGACAGGCTTATCGAGGATCGTATAACACGCGCCCAAAAAGTTTCTAACGAGGAGGGTTTCATACAATTGTAGTATATGTTTAAATTAGTTTTGAATATAAATTATACAAATAATGTATAGTGCTAAAAACCTTAGCTCAAGTTCTGACGTTTGGCCAACTGTTTTTTTTTCTTTTTGTTTTAGATATAGCATTAAAATTCCCTGCGTTTGTATTTTATATAAAACGAAGTAATAAAAGAAGTAGTAGACGGGTATTCACATACAAAAAGCTAAAAAAATAAATGAAACAATCTCGGCTCTTCTAGTACTGAATCCTAAAAATCAGCCAAATTCCTAACTTACAGTTTGAAGGTTAATACCATCAAATCGTGTAACGTAAAGTATTTGTATAAACATAAAGACAAATAGGAAAAAAAAGCATTGCTTGCCAACTAATTACATCCTTAATCACTATCGAAAATATTTGAATACTAATTATTTATAGAAATAATTGAAAACGAGTCGCGTTAACAGCATGTATTGATCGTTGGATCGTCCAGTCACGACTCGTGCTGCGCCTGCGCATCGGCTTACTGCTTAGTTATCCGCGATCAGTATGACAGAATACACGTGTCAATACGAATTTAATTACGCGTAAATACATTTAATTAAACAATTGAAATTTCATTCAAAAAAAGTTTTATCGCGATACTAAAATAAATCTTTTTTTTTAAATCCCATAAAACTGAAATGTAGCTGAAATATAGTTACAAGTGAACCGAAGGAAAATATTTTTATAGTGAAGTTCTCCTACAATGATTAAGGAATTATGAAAAATTTAACTGAAAATGTTTATAAAATATATTTTTATAGTGATTGTGCGAACTTAAGGTGATTTAAAATGACGTGGACTGAAGAGTTGGATGAAGCCTCTATCCTTGCCACGAAAAAGGGCGTCTGGCATATTCTGCTGTTTTACTTGTTATGTGGTCTTGCGTCTATTCCGACATCATTCCTGGTCTTTTCACAGGTTTGTTGTTTATTTTATATGGTTTTCACTCTATATATTTTGGTAAACTTTATCAGTAAAATGAGGGAATCAGGATGTGTATGCTTCCGTTTACTTGCACTAACGCACATACGCACATACATTTTTGCCCAAAAATTTCCATGTCAAATATTACAGCACAATTTTTATATTAAACACGACATTTAAGAATTAGGGGCGAAACAAAATAAGTAAATGGTAATATCAGCGGCGAAATTGCAAGTTTTTAAAGCTAAGAAATACCTCAATTTTCTAGATTCTAATAAATCTTATAATGATTTGAAAAATGATGAGGAAGCTTATTAATCATGAATTTATTATCTTCATAGATATGCTTCTAAGCAGAACTGCTTTCCGAGCTGGTGGTAGCTTTCTTACAGACCGACTTCACTGACTATCTTTAAATTAAATGACGATTCAAAAGTGCTTGTATAATTCTAATTGAATAATTAATTTTCATTTCAGGCCATTTTCGAACGTTCCGACTTAATTATGATAAATGTCGACGGAACATCACTAGTGTTAATGACAATTTCTCTAAAGAATAGGTACTTAATTGATAAATTAACAATATTATCTGGATTCTTTATTCTAAGCCTTTTAATAAGGTCTTAGTAAAAACAGCGGAAGTCTGACTCATAATATTTGGTCAGTTATTTTTATTTGTTGCATTTTTAAATTTTTTATTCAATGCGTACCTATTTGTATACGTATTTATTTCAATTATAGTATTTTTTATATAAAAACATATAAATATAATTATATATTTTTTATATACGTATGTATGCATATATATTTGTAGTATATTATATGATGCAAGTACGCGACCATTCCATATATGTACTTACTTTTGCACCCTAAAGTTGCTTGGTAGAGATCGCCTATAAGATTAAACTGCCTGCTGTCTTCTACCTTTTGGGACTGTTGTAAAATTAATAAATGACAAACTCTACGACACTTTTGGCTCTCTTTATAGTGACCCTACTTGCTGTATCAGGGGTCGCAGATTTGAGTCCCGCTGGGAGTGTTCATTTGTGTGATGAGCACGAATGTTTGTACTCCAGTCATAGGTGTTTATATTTATAATTTATAATATGTATGTATTTAAAGTTATATAATATGTGTAGTGTATCAACTATCTGGTATACATTTTAGTCCGGAGTTGGGAAGTTGGCGGTGTTTCACCCCCGTGCCTCGAAGAGTACGTAAAGCCGTCAGTCCTGCGCCTTAACTCTCACCGGTTGTGTCGAGCAGTCGTCCCACCGGAGTATGAGAGTGACAGGAATAGAGAGTGCACTTGTGTCTGCGCGTACACTTGTGCACTATAATATCTCCTGCGCAGATGGCTAGTCTCAATAAGATTGGCCGCCGTAGCCGGAGTCGGCTAGGAGAACATCATCATCTGGTATACATAACAAAAGCCTCGTTCGTAGCTTACTATGGAACTAAATGGTGATTTGTGTTAATGTCCCAATATATTTATTTATTTATAATAATTTGTAAGTTAATTTGTACGAAACACTCGTCACGGAAATCGCACTTGTCTCATTGTATTTATTCGATATTTTGTTTAGTAACATTTATTATACCTATACTCGTATACCATATTAAAATATTTTTTATTGCTAGTTTTCTGCTTTTCTATGCAGAATGCAGATGTCAAAGTTATTAACGTAACAATAGGTCTCATATATTTAAATCTACATATCTATAGCTACAAGTTACAACGCGTGCCTTAAAATTGACACACACATACAAAACATTACCCTCTTTTTTATGCAATCGGGTAAATATCAGGCACATGATATTTAAGAAACAATAAAGAGAATTTACACATTATGTTTGTTCAAACCTATAGAAGCCATAATGTTACGTTAGATTAATCTTCTCAATCAAGTCTTGTTTTATTTGCAATACTTTTTACGCCAGAGGCCGTAAGTTCGTACTCATGCGCATGTTGATATTAAAGTAATCATATTATAATCGCTGTATGTATGTATATATGGCAGCAGATTCGAAGATCCTGGGTTCGATTTTCAGCCGGGCCTTGTAATTACTGGTTTTTCTGTCAATAAATTTTCAGTAACAGCACGGATGTTGGGAAATTGGCGGTGTTTCCCCGTGACTCGGAGAGCATGTAAAGTTCTGCGATTTAATTCTCACCGGTCGTATCGAGTTGCCGTCCCAGCATAGTACGAGAGTGATAGAAGTAGAGAGTGCATTTGTCTCTGTATGCATACTTGTGCACTATGATATCTCCCGCGCAAATGGCTTGTCTCAGTGAGATTGGTTTTCATGACAGAATTAGGTCATTATTATTGTAAGGAAAAGTATAGCAATGTGAGGACTTTAAGTTAGCATTTGCTTTATAGGTACCAGTGGCGAAGCGTCCATACAAGACGTCTTACCTTAACATTATTTAGCCACGATTTTACATACATTTAATGTTTTAAATGTATATATTTTCTTTTGTAAATATATATATATATATATATATATATATATATATATATATATATATATATATATATATAACTAGCAACTCACCCTCGCTTCGCTCGGGTTCGTAGGTACATTTTAAATTAAAATGGATATAGTATGTATCCTTAAGAGATAGACATGCCATCGCGGACTTTTCTGTAGACCTATAAAAGATACACAATTCCACCATACATTATTTTGTTATATCTCAAAGGGTTTAGGCAGCGTTTTCGTTGAAAGCTCCCAGACGTCTTATTTTTTCCGACATCTCCAACAAATATCGTTATATTTTAGCCAATGTATACAAAAACTTAACAAATTATATACTAAAACCTTCCTCTTAAATCACTCTATCTATTAAAAAAATCGCATCAAAATCCGTTGCGTAGTTTTAAAGATTTAAGCATACATAGGGATATAGGGACAGAGAAAGCGACTTTGTTTTATACTATGTAGTGATAATAGCTTTATTTCTTTCTGCATTAATATGTATAAAAAAATAGTATATTTTTGGAACGGCTTAACTCTGCTAAAATTTCACCCTTCGCCACTGATAGGTACATTATCCTGTATTAGGCCAATAGGCTAGATATTAAATTATGTCTAAACGAGAAAGCCTTACAAGATACTGGTGCTCGAATACTTTTGAGCAGTAATTGACTTCCTTGAGAAATACCTAATATCGTTCCAGTCGTATTAACGATCTAGCTTTAAATAAATTAAATTAAGAATTCTGCGCATATGATTTATCTTTTAGGACCATGTATGATAAATCACAGGCTATTTCTACTTGAGTATATGATAACGCTCAAATCTAAAATTGCTTATCTATACTATTTTTTATCTACTAGATGCTAATGGCACTTGTTCCGAATTTATATTGTGTTATCTGTAAGTATATTATTTGTATTAAGTCAGTGGTAGCCCAGTGGTAACGCGCTTGCGTCGGAAACCGAGTGAAGCGAGTTCAAATCCCAGGTCTCGCACTTCTGATACTTTCATGTGCGAATCATTTCCAACACGATTAGGTACGACTTATTTTATAGGTGAAGGAAAACATCGTGAGGAAACCTGCATGTCTAAGAGAACCTAGCAAGTTTTCAAAAGACATGTAAAGTCCGTCCCACTGCTGGGCTCGGGCCTCCCTTCAATACGAGGGGGATCAGGCCATAGTCCACCACGCTGGCCAAGTACGGATTGGCGGACTTCAAATGTCTTTTGAAAACTTGCTAGGTTCTTTCAGACATGCAGGTTTCCTCACGATGTTTTCCTTCACCGTTAAGACAAGTGTACTGGGTCGGTGACGCAATTATCTAGATCCAGAAAATATTTTTTTGGATATCATAAATAAAATACAAAGGACAGGAGAACATCTCTCGTGTTCGTTGATAATATTTTATTATTTGTTTGAATATAACCGTTATTTTTAACCTCGGTTTTTTGACACTATGTGTATTTTTTGTTAAGTTTTTTTGTAGTGTTACGTTTTTAGTTATTTGTTTTCTTAGTTAAAAACACTCAGCTATAAAATTATATAAAAAAAAATTAAGAATCACTTGATATTTTTGTTTATATTTTGCTGCTTAATTGGTAATACTTGATCATAAGAAGATACTACGTATTAAGAAGACACCTGATAATACAAATCCTAAACAAATTCATATTCTACGATCAGTATCGATAATAGAGAGCTAAATATTATTTTTTAATTATCAAAGCACAGAAACTTTTGAATCACGATAAATATAATGATACACTTATAGGGGTGATGTACATATTTAAACCATAAGGTCTTGGCTTTACATCATAAAAAATCTAATTAAACGTCTCTCTTTATTTGAAGTCGGTCAAAATTATATGAGAAACTCCTACTACCACGTGACATAAATGCTTAGTTCAGTTATTTCCATATATTTTTAGTTTTCTATCGGACTGCCATCAAACCATACCATTCATGGGAAAGTTTATAATTATGTATATTTTGACTCCTTTACGCTGAAATGGATAGACTGATTTGAATGAAATTTGAAACACAGATAGATTATGACCTGGAGTAACACATAGGCTATAAAAGCATTGAAGTTTGCAGCTGAGAAAGCGAGGGTAAATTGCTAGTTAAGAATAGTCCCTCCCGATGTGTGTTTAGGGTTTACTTTGTCTTTGTGGGGGAGGGAGGAGGAGCCTCATTAGCGTCCGGCAACCCAGCCGGGTGCGTGAGCGTGAGTCCCACATAATCACATGTACATATATACAGGTGGTAAGTGTGCATTTCCCAACATTATAAAAAATGTCCATAGTAATTGTACTGTCACTTGTGTACTAGGTGTCTGTCAGCATTTAAATCACTATAATATTACCACTAACGATTAAAAGGTAAGTGCTCATGCTCTCACTGTGAAGGAATGTTAGAAGCATTTGAATAACAAACATGAATGGCCGTGACAAAACTTACGTATGAGGATGTTGGAAGAAAGTACAGTGTTTCTGTTCTGACTTACTCGATTGTTTGAAATTATTTTACATAAAAGTAAAATTATTTTTTTGTAATAATATTGTATTATTAGTTTTACCCTGTGGCTCCACTAGGGTATTTTTGTATAATTTTGCCACACTTTTCTGGAATCCTTCTGGGTAAGGCATAGGCATCAAGAAATAACTTATAATATGCAAGAATATTTTTTTTAAATCGGATCAGTAAAGACCAAAGTAACTCTTCTGCTTTATAATATTAGCATAGAAATAGTTTTATAGTAATATATTTTGCCACAGATTTAGACTCTAAATTTGTGAGGTTTACATACTTATTAATAATTAATTATTATTCTGCTTGAAATATACACAAAAGTTGCTGTTTTAGGTGATATACATGTACCTCTACATAGTACGGTAATTTTAAATAAGTAAATATGTTATTTTCAACTCTTATGACTCACCAAATTTTCATATTATTTGCTTTCTATTAAGGGGATAATTTAAATAAATACACCCGATGTTCAGGCATTGGCAGCCCAGTGGTAGGGCGCTCACTTGGTTAAACGAATAAGGCGGGTTCAAGTCCCGGGTCTTGCACCTCTGATATCTTCATGTGCAATTTCCAACATGATTACCACTTGTCTTACGGTGAAGTAAAACATCGTGAGTTTTCAAAAGGTATGTGAAGTCCGCTAAACCGTACCATACCTGTACTTGGCGAGCGTAGTGGACTATGGCGCAATCCCTTCATATAGAAGGGAGGTCCCTGCCCACCAGTGGGACGTTAATAAGGGCTGAATAACATAAATTTTATATTCATACAAGGCAATGCCAAGACATTATGTCTCACGGTAGAGGAGACGTGAGCGAATATGAGTAGACAATGCTGCCAGATCTTATAATTGGATATAAAATTAAGATTTTATTTGTCCCCTAAGTTCGGTAATGTTAAACAAAAAATATCGAGAGATCAAACGTTTCTAACCCGTTGATGGCCAGCAGGCGCCATGTTCTATAGTACAATGTACAAAAAAATTATAGATGGTACTATGTAATGACCTTTTTTTATTTATCCGTTTTAAATAATTACATATTGTTATTGATTTTTTTTCTCATCACACTATATTTCAACAGTCCTATTGATTTGTATAATAAGATTTGATTTATCTATACTAATATTATAAAGAGGTAAAGTTTGTGAGTTTGTGACGTTGTAGGGGGTAATCTCTGGATCTACTGAGCCGATTTAGATGAAATTTGGTAACAAGATAGTTTGAGACGCTTGAAAGGACATAGAATACTTTTTATCCCGGAAATCATCCCTAAAAGGGGTGAAAATGGGGATGAAAGTTTGTATTAGGAGGCAAGCTAGGGACGAACCCGAGGAAAGCGAGGGCGAATTTGGTATAATTTCAGTGACCCAACGGTATAAAATAAGTTGACTCTACTGGCAGCCCTGCTAGTATTGGATATCTATACTATAAGAAAACAGTAGAGGTCGAATGTCTGTACATAGCAAAAAAATGCTAAAAACCGAGTCAGGGGGATGTAAGAAGACAAATAGAACTAATCCAGATTTTTTTCAAACTTTTTGTTTCTCTGTCAGTTTGTGTTTGTCTGTTTATCTGTTTGTACGGGCTAATCTACGAATCTATTGAACCGATTTAAGTGAAATTTTGCATGGTGGTACTTTATATCCCCGGACAACATCTTAGATACTTTTTATCCCGGAAAATTAAATAGTTCCCGTGGGATAGTTAAAAAACTATAATAACTTATACAGCTTAGTACACAAAATCTACTAATTGGATTTTAATAAAACTTTACAATAATATAGTTCATACATGACAATAATAAATCGGCTACTTTTCATCCCAGAAAATTAAAGGGTTCCCGTGGGACAGTCAAGAAACTATAGTAACTTATACAGCTTAGTACACAAAAACTTATGCGCCTAATTTAGTAAGATTTGGCATGCTGATACCTTATATTGCCGGTCAAACAACAGGTTACTTACTTCTCATCCCGGAAGGATGAACGGTTTGCGTGGGAAGTAATAGATCTGTATTAGTGTTTTTCTAGAGGCGAACCCGAGCGAAGCGAGGGTGAGCCGCTAGTTAATAATAAAAAACCAAATTATTATTCGCTACCGAAATGAATGTGAACAATAATTTTCCTTAATGCATAAATCATCGTAGAACAAGTTTTTTGATGAAATTAATTAAACTGATGGAAATTTTCGACACTGACTTGGCAACAAATTTTAGACAGGTACCTTTATAAATATTTTGACTGCCTGTTTCTCGAAAACCGCGCAAATGTTATCAGAGTTTAGACAAGATGTCATTCTAAAATCGTTGAAGAACAGAAAATTTAAAATCATAATACGTAAATCTCATATTTTTTATATATCTATACTATGGCTAGGTAAATGCTGCGGTCTCGCTTACGACCATTAAATTGGATTTACTCAACGAAATGAATATTTGTGACTGATGTTAATAATTTAATAATAAAACCTGTTACTTTTTTATAATCGACTCCTAAAAGGGTAAAGAAAGGGTAGTAAATTTATATGAAATATATTTTTTAGATGTCTAAATATTTTTTATCGTATCCAGTCCAATCCAGTAAATAATTGTGTTTATATGTGTATTTAAATATTTAGATTAGTTTTTTTTCTTCTTTTGTTTATTGTACAACTGAAATGGCTCCTTATACACTGATGATACTGATGTTCCCCTAGCCGATTCCGGCTACGGCGGCCAATCTCATTGAGATTAGCCAACTGCGCAGGAGATATTATAGTGCTCAAGTGTACGCGCAGACACAAGTGCACTCTCTATTCCTATCACTCTCATACTCCGGTAGGACGACCACTCGACAGGACCGGTGAGAGTTAAGGCGCAGGACCGACGGCTTTACGTGCTCTCCGAGGCACGGGGGTGAAACACCGCCAACTTCCCAACTCCGGGCTGTTACTGAGACTTACTATACAGAAAGTCTCAATAACTAAACTTGGCCCGACCCGGGACTCGAACCCAGGACCTCCGGGTGTGCAGCCGTACATGCTAGCCACTACACCACTGAGGTAGTCAAATACCTTATACACTATTAACCACATAAAATTTTAATGGAATAATTCTATAAAAAGCTGTGCATACTTTTAAATTAAATTTATATTCAAATAGGTAAAATTATAATGTTAAATAAATGTTTTTATGTAAATTTAGTTAGTAAGCCTTTATAATAAATAAATAAATAATACAAACACACGTACATACAAACAGGTCAAAAATATACCTTGTGAGTTGTGATATTAGTTACTTAGATATTTTATTACTTATAAAGTAAGCAAAACAAAATAAAACTGCACTGGTCTTTTAACTGTTTATTTTTTTCTCTAGCAGGACAAAAGTTCCAAACATAAGACTTGCCTGCGATTCTAATCACGCAGTTTATACGTCGATAAAAAAAGTAATAAATATACTTTTATAAAAATTCAGGAAATAATATAATTGAAATGCAGGTATTTCAAATTTCAAGTAACGTGAAGATTGAAAGTGACGAAGTAACCAACATACACAACTCAAAAACGTATTTTGTAATATTAGTGTGATGTACTGTAGCTAGCAATCTAAGTGGTAAAAAATTCATAGCTTAGATATTTTAAAGTCTATTCAGCCCTGTTGAGGCCGCTGTTGGACACGGGCCTCCCTTCAATGCGAGCGGATCACGTCATAGTCCACCACGCTGGCTTAGTGCGAGTTGGTTTCACATGTCTTTTGATAACATGCTAAGTTCTCTCAGACATGTAGATTACTTCACAATGTTTCCCTACAATGTAAGACAAATGAACAAATAATCATGTTAAAAATAATTTACACATAAAAATATCACAGGTGAGAGACCCCAGGATTTGAACCCGCTTCACTTGGTTGTTGCCACTGGGCTACCATAGCTTTATTCTAAGGTAGTACCTATTAGTGCAAGTAGCACATAGGTAGAACCAATAATTAAGTTACCCGTGAGTGAATTCGTCAGCAGAATATTATTATTGATAATTAAGCAATTAATTTACAATTGAATTTGTAAATAAAACTATCTTTTTGGATTATTTCGCGGATTTATTTTGATTTTTGGTTCCCGACGTTTCGAATGCTTTACAGCAATCATGGTCACGGGAGAGACTGTAACACACATACACATCAACGCACGCAAACACACACACAAGTATAAACTTTCGCTTTTATAATAGTTATCTAATATATAATAGATCTTCCTTCTTGGTTCCAGGTCTTCACCAACGCAATCCCGGAACACTGGTGTGCACCACCCCCAGAACTTGCCGAGTGGAAGCTTCCACGCGGTGAACTCCAAAACCTGACAATACCAATAGACAAGGGGACGTATGAAACCTGTAGAATTTACTCGATCGATTTAGACGTTTTCTATGATTCTCTCAACAATAATTATAATAATAGGTATGTTGGTATAATAAACTAGCGACTTGGGTACGTTTTAATTTATTTGAGCAGAATCCTCATCGTTTTTTTTTTAAATAAAAGTAATCTAAGTTACTCCTTATAACATCAGCTATCTGGCAGTAAAAATCCCGTCAGTCCAGCCATTTCGGAGATTAGCCGGAACAAACAGACAGACAAAAAATTTTAAAAAATGTGTTTTCTTATAAGTACCGTATATAATTTGACATGCATTTAGTAAAAAGCTGTTATTTTGAAATTACAAACAGACACTTCAATTTTATTTATCTGTATAGATAATGTTACGTTATCTAATAAATTAAAAAGTATTAGTTTTGGACATTATTTTTTTCGACATTTCGACTAAAAGCCAAAAGAGCCTTTTTAATCTTTTAATATGGTGGAACTTTTTAGCTACTAAATTTTACGAGTCTGCCTAATATACCACCTGCATAATTTAATTAATCCCTCCACGATCGCGGACACGCCGGCGTTACAGTTAACAATAGATTTCTTAGAATTTTAATTAATTTCTTAGAGGTCTACCTGGAGGTATTAACTACTGTAGCGTAAATCTCACGTGAAAGGAAGGGGGGTCCCACCAAATCTCACTTAATCTCACCAGGGGGGGAGGGGTCTAAATAGAAAGAAAAAGCTATTTTGTAATTAATACGTAATTAATGGATGCTAGTCTAAATAAATACGCGGTAAAGTTGTATGACTGTAATCAAAATAACATATGTTTTACCTTAAAACAGTTTGAGGCGTCATAATCTCAGATTATAATTTATATTAGAATTAGAAGGCAAAACGTTAAATATTTACCAACAGTCGAGTGCTGTCAGAATTTTGATTTCATAGCACATTAAATATTGGCTGCAAGCCAGAGATAGTGTAATGGATTTCGTTTTCAGATTCCTTGTATTCAAAATGTATGATAATGTTAATCCAGTTAGGTATTTTGGTCTTTTCATTCGGCGTTACTTGTGTTTTAATTGAATATACACGTTTCTGTACTTTTTTTTCTTCTAATAATAATAGGAGTAGGTAATATATTTATAATATGTATGTATTTAAAGTTATATATGTGTAGTGTATCAACTGTCTGGTATCTATAACACAAGCCTCGTAGCTTACCATGGAACAAGATGGCGCTATGTATTAATGTCCCAACATTAAAATAAAAACATTACAAAGAAATATATTTGTTTGTATGTAAAGGATATCGTCCAGATTAGCGTTTGCCATTGGCTCTGGCTGTGTAGTTTGAAAATAACAGTTTTTTATAAAAACATCCAACCTCATTTTTATACCCCTTAAGGAGATGAATTAAAAAATAGCTTAGCAGATCTTCTTTGGAGAAGGAATATGGATGAGAAATCTATCTTCCTTTCTAGTTAGACTTAATACCATTTATACTTTTTGAGATTTCGTGATTAATCAATATTGTGATAATGTATCGATAATGAGACTAGCAAAAAGTATATCAGTTAAATTTTACTAAATAACTGTGTACATATGTATATGTGTCATACAAGGATCGTTTAAGACGTTTGGGTGTTAAGGTGCATAAAATATCAAACTTAATTTCACATTTATAATCTGCTAGCGGAATCTAGACAAACAAAAATAAATCTCTTCCAAGGGAACCGCACATTTTTTCGGGATAGAAGGTAGCCTATATTCCAGACTATAATTAATCTCTGTGCTAAATTTCATCCAGATCTGTTCAGCCATTCTGGCGTGATTGATTAACAAACATCCAAACATCTACACTTTTAAATCTATACTACAATAAAACAGTAAAATAACGGTTCCCGTGGGAACTAATAGATCTCTATTAGTGTTTTTCTAGTTTATAATATTAGTAGGTATAGATAATAGGAAAAGACAAAACGGTTCAGTACCTTTTTCTTCTCTTTTTGCCAATAGCTTTTTCTTTAGTAGCGATTGACAAACTTTAGTGTTAACGATTATTTTTTTTTGGAAACAGTAAGGCTTTTTATATAGATAGGTAAATTCAATTCAAATATCTTTTTCCTTCTTTTGGTTTTGCTCAAATTATTAATAGTGTTTATGGTTAAATTTGGGCAAATTCTAGAAAATCTATAAATATAATAAAATTGTAACTAAGCCGAATCTGTACATTAAATATTTTTTTGAAAACCTTATTGAAATAAACATTATTATCGATGCCGAGGCCGAATCTATAGTTTTTAGAATTTTTATCTGTCTGTCTGTTACCGCATCACAGAAAAACCACTGGAGGGATTTTGATGAAATTTGGTATGGTGGTAGCTGGATATCCGGATCAATATATAATCTCAAATCGATCTCGAAATATCTCATTTCTGAGAAAAAATACAAAACCGGCAATGTAAGAGTATACTAATATTAATTTAATTTTTAATAATAATAATAATTTATTATTAATATTAAGAGTATACTAATATGTAAAATCTAAGAATTTGGTATTTGGTCATCTGAACGCGGGCCGAGCCGCGGGCAATGCTGGTTAATAATATTAGACTTTATATTGTAACCTCATCACATGCTGATACCTTACTTATTGTTTCAGATCTGATGTACTAGATATTACGTTTAATAAAGATACAGCAGTAAATTCATCGAATAATGAAGAAAAGAGACAACAGGTAATATTATAACGATTACTTTTCTTGAATAAAAAGATAGACTTTTCGGACTTTACACGTTTCGGATTATTTCGCGGATTTATTTTGATTTTTGGTTCCCGACGTTTCGAATGCTTTACAGCAATCATGGTCACGGGAGAGACTAAGGCTTTACATGTTTCAAGAGCATTAAATAATTGTTACAACTATATTTCCATTTTAAATATTTCCATACTAAATTTTATCTAATCGGTTCAGCGGATTAAACGTGAAAAACTGACGGACAGACAGACAGACAGAATTACTTTCGCATTTAATATTAGTATAGATGTATAAAGCTAGCTTTTTTAGTGGTGCTGGTCTATCATGATCGGCTTGGACTGAACGTTGATAAGTAACTGTCAGTCAGTGAGTCGCGACATTGCCTATAATGTAATAATATATAATAAAAATAGTTATAGCGAGGGTTCCTTAGGAGATAGATATATACTTTTCCGAATTTTCTAGTACATTGTTTTGTTGTATCTCTTAAGGTTTAGTCATAGGAAGGTTTCTAAGGAAGTCTCGATAAAACCAGTTATTGTGTTTTCCCGTGGGAAAGAAAGATTTTCCTGAAGTACAAGGTATCCTTAATGTTGACCCGAGTAATAAGTTATCACTTCACCAAATTTTGTTGAAATCGGTTCATTACTTATTGCGTGAAACGCGCACACATAAATAGACGTACAGATAAACAGTCAAACAGACAAATAAATAATAACTGTTTTTTTAGGGTCTATATTGTGTACATAACATGTTACAGTCATTGTTTTTAAAAAAATATATAATGTACAGATTTCGCTAAGTTACTGCTTTATTATAGTACACATAAGGTGTATAACATTTTATTACCTATATTAGATAAAGTACCTGGGCGACCGAGCTTAGCTCGCATTTTTTGGCCATAAGTACAATTTTCTTTTTTAAAAAAGAACTAAAAACTTGAATAAATACAAAAAAAAAAACAAAGTAAAAACTTTGTATCCGACCCGAGAGTCATAATAGGACACCTATGATTGTTAATCTTATGCCTTGGCCACTTGACCATGATGCTTATGTCCGTGCGTGCGAAATTATCGAACATATTTCGCATGGAATACTGCGAAAGAAAACTACATAAAAACTCCAAAATGCGCGTTGTTCCAGACATAAGACTAATCGATTATAGATTAATTTTTTGCTGCAGAAAACCCCCACATACCAAATTTCAGCGAAATCGTTAGAGCCCTTTCCGAAATCGATAAATAAATAAATATACAAGAATTGCTCCTTTAAAGGTATTAGATTAAATATTCAAGTTATGATTACCATAATTCATTTCTAGATACAAAGAGTTCGAGATGCAATACTATCTGCAAGAAAAGAACTTATTGCCTGTCGAAACGGTTGGGAATTTAACACGGAGCATTACACACGCACTTTAGTGACTGAGGTAAGATGGTTTAAATAATTTTTCTCTACAAGCTAACTGAATACCATAGATTAGAAATAGCAGTGATATTTTATAGCCGCAATAAAAAAAGAAAGAGAAATCAGTAAGCAGACGTTTTCCTGCTAAAATATTCTAGATATCGAGACCTAGATAACCTACTGGATCAAGATATAGCTAAAAACCATCCAAGTGACTTCATAAGTAGACAAAAACATCAAATCGATCAAGCCGTTTAGTAGGCGAAGTATTACAAACGCAGTTTTATACGACATGTTTGGCTCAGTTTGTAGTACTTGCTGTACCAGCAGTTACGGGTTCGAGTCCCGCTGGGTGCATTTATTTGTGTGATGGGTACGAATTTTTGTACTCCAGTCATGGGTAAATATAATACTTTATATTATTATTACAATACTTTTTTATATTTATAATATATATATATATATATCTATGTATATATATATATATATCAATATATATATATATATATATATATATATATATATATATATATATTTAAAGTTATATATGTGTAATGTATCAACTACCTGGTAGCCATAAAACAAGCCTCGTAACTTACCATAGAACTAGATGGTGCTATGTGCTAATGTCCCAACATATTTATTATTTTTATAAGATATCATTTTCTATATATAAAACTCCTTTGCCAGTTCGCTTTCCAAGAGTTTATCGTTGTATATTGTGTGATATTATCCAACTTCGTATAAATTCTTGGCTTTAAAGTATCCAATATCACATAAGTTTATGATGTTTTCTTGATATCACTAATGTTATTAATGCGAAGGTTTTTGCATGAAGTTATTACCTCTTTACACTGAAACGGGTTAAACGGATTTAAGTGATTGTGGATTCAGTATGGAGATTTTCTCTAAGAAACCAACTTTCACCTCATTACATTTTTATAATATGAATATCTATTTGTAATAATAGAAAGTAATAATAGTTTAAATTATTTTAATGTCCCGATGCTGGCCTGCCCTCTAATACGACATAGTTCAACACGAATGTTAGTTTCATCAAACTAAATCAAATCAAATTATACTATATTTAAATGAACTTTTACAAACACATTTAAATCGTTTTACATTTTAAATTTAAATGTAATGCCAGTATGTAAGTTCGAGAGAAAGTTACCACCGGCTCGGAAGGCAGTTCTGCTGATAAGAGCCAGCAAGAAACATAACATTTACAAGCCTTAAGCTCGATGCTCAGATCTAAACCCGATTTATTTGGGTTTAAAATCGAAATTGAACATTCATTTAATAATGATTTCTTTGCAGTTTTCTCTAGTTTGTGATAAAGATTGGCTACCAAGAACCAGCAACACTTTGTTTTGGTTTGGATCCATTTTTGGCAACTTATTTTTTGGATGGATGTCTGATAGGTCAGTTAACTTTGAAACAATTTGTGAGTATAAATCTTTAAGGTCTCTTGGTCACTGACAATATTCTTATGAAGAATTATTATGAAGCAGATTTACGAGTTTTTAACATTCGGCACTGCTACAAGCAATATGTTCATGAGTGAATTTTCCCATTTTACATCATAAGAATGTTAGTTTATCTCGATAGTCGATACAGTCTATATTTATTTCTTTTTATTTATTTTATATATGTTATCTATTCTTGAGCACGTTCATAATCATCCATAGAAACTTTGTAAAATATAGGAAAATCATAAGTATTATAGAATAAATGACAAGTTTTTGCCCGCGACTTCGAACGCGTAAAAGAGAGTTGAGGTACAAGGGTAGCTGTCAAATCCAATCCCAGGATGTATCTATACATCTATATCCTTGCCAAATTTTATCGAAATCTGTTTAACGGTTTAAGCGTGAAAAGCCAAAAGACAGAATTAGTTTCACATTTATAATATTAGTAATTAGTGTGTATAATGCTTTTTTCGAATAATATGATTTATTATACCTTCATGTCTACTTTATATTCTAAAGAGAAGAAAAGAAGACTGCCTCTGTGGTGTAGTGGCTAGCATGTACGGCTGCACACTATTGGAGGTCCTGGGTTCGAGTCCCGGGTCGGTCAAAGTTTAGTTATTGAGTCTTTCTGTATATTAAGCCTCAGTAACAGCCCGAAGTTGGGGAGTAGGCGGTGCTTCACCCCCGTGCCTCGGAGAGCACGTAAAGCCATCGGTCCTGCGCCTTAGCTCTCACCGGTCGTGTCGAATGGTCGTCCCACCGGAGTATGAGAGTGATAGGAATAGAGAGTGCACTTGTGTCTGCGCGTTCACTTGTGCTCTATAATATCTCCTGCGCAGTTGGCTAGTCTCAATGAGATTGGCCGCCGTGGCCGTAATCGGCCAGGAGAACATCATCATCATCATCATCATATTCTAAAGGAATTATATTGATTTTCAGATATGGTCGTCGCCCAACAATTCTTCTGATGATCGTTCTTGAAGTACCGTTATCTATTGCTGCTGCATTTCCATGGAACTATTGGGTGTACATTGCCCTAAGAGTTGCTGGTGGCTTATTTTTCCCAGCTTTATATCAACTTCCTTTTATTCTCGCTTTGGAACTGATGCCACCATCCAGAAGAACTTATACTGGTATTTATGTTTATTTAAATTCATCTTTTGTCTTGCGCAAAAAATAGAAATGGCCTAGTTTTAGGATGAAAATTATTGAGTCATTTTTTCTCTTGCCAACATCAAGAAGTAGTTGGATGAGTGTGTAATTTTAGATAATTTTTAGGACTTTTTTATATTTTACTCGTCTGTATAATAATGACAACTTGCAAAATAACTTAAACATGGATTAACTTATATACTTATTATTCGTTTATGGCAACGCTAGTTATAAATATAACTAGCATTGCCCGCGGCTCCGCCCGCGTTCAGATGACCAAAAACTAAATTCTTAGGTTTTACATATACTCTTACATTGTCGTTTTTGTATTTTTTCTCAGAAATGAGACATTTTCCCGCGGTAAAAAGTATTCTATATGTTGATCCGGTTAAGCAGCTATCAAATTTCATCTAAATCCCTCCAGTGGTTTTTCTGTGATGCGGTAACAGACCGCAAGACAGACAGAGAAAAATTCTAAAAACTATAGATTCGGCCTCTGTATCGATAATAATGTCTATTTCAATATAATTTTCCAAAAAATATTTAATGTACAGATTCGACTTATTTAGAATTTTATTATATGTATAGATTTCTTACAGGTATCGTAGTTGGCATGATGTTCGCGAGTGGAATGTGTTTATTAGCACTCCTCGCATATCTGTTTCGAGACTGGTTTTATCTCTCACTAGCTACAAGTCTACCCTTTATTTTATTATTTGGGTAAGTACGATCATAGTACCAATACGTTATTAACTGTATACTTATGTGCGATTCATTTTAAATATGATTAGCAATTACCTTACGGTGAAGGAAAAGATGGAGCGGAAACCTGTTTTTGAAAGACTTGTGAACTCCACTTACTTGCAATTGGCCACTGTCCATGTGCCCACCTGTGGCCTGTGGGACGGTAAAAAAGGCTGACATGACAAATATACGTTATAAGAGGAGTATTCAAAAAACAACCTTTGTTGAAATCTTGAAGATGTCCAGATGGACTAGAATTATCTCGAAGAAATTGATGTTTACTTGTGTCGCTTTATTTTTTATAAAACGAACAAAATATGTTGTTTACTGCAGAGTCTAGATGTAAATTGCTATATTTCTAAATAAGACATCTTTTATACAATTTTCAGATATTACTGGTTGATTCCAGAGTCACCGCGTTGGTTAGTAGGGCGTGGACGAATAGCTGATGCTGAAAAAGTATTTAGAAATCTTGCAAAGAAAAATGGAATTAAGCTGGAATATGGATTTCTATTAGAATTACACGTTAGTATTGGAAATAATAAAATATTTGACTTAGATTTATCTAAATCGTTTTTTTTTATTGCTCTTTTCTTGTTATAGAAAAAAATAAAATCTGAAGGTACTGAAATTGAAGTGGCAATACTTCCAAATATAAATGGTCATATTCCTTTCCAAGAACGAGAAGAATATATAGATAGAAGAATAAGCAATATGCTATCTTTTAAATCAGAATTTAACAAAATAAATGAAAGTGACACTGATAGTAAAGAAAGTCTAGATAGAATAAATACTTTAGATTTAAACGTTATAAAATCAAAAGCTCGTAAAGATATAGAAGAAAGAGAAGACACGAGGCTAAATCAAGAAGAATTGTTAAATCCTGAATTTCATCAAAAAACAATGCCAACAGAAATAACATCACCAATGCACACATTAAGAAGAAAATCTATTCAATTGGTACATAGGATTCTTCTTAAAGAAGAAGATGAAGATGTATTAGAAAAGAAAAGAATGGATGATCAGAATTCAGAAGGAGATTGTAAAGCATCCCCACTCGATATATTCAGATATCCGAATATAAGAAAAAAGTTTTTTATTCTCACTTTTAATTGGGTAGCTATTGGCGTTGTTTACAATAGCTTAAGTTATAACACGCCCAATTTAGGTGTTGATGATTATTTGGCGTTTTTTATTGGTGAGTTGGAATTTTTTATCTTCCTATTGCAATCTACAGGACTTAATATTATAATTTTCTCGTATCATAATTTTGCACAATTTAAAGACAAGGTCGGTGGGGTGCAAAACATTTTTTGGGGGTTTTGTTACTAGTATTGACTAGGTACTCAATTCTTTTATTATCATTGTTTTTTTTATTGTAAATACATTCACAGCAAAAATGAAGGGAGTATTGTATAAGATCAATATCTAATTTGGCTCTTTAGTGGCTTTCAAATCAGATCAATTTAAAATATATTAAGTTCTTAGGTTCTTGATGTTACTAATATATAATTAACACAATATTAAACAAACACATTTTTTTATATCAAAGCGTTTTTAACTGTCTCTTACTTGCTTAGTAAAATACACATATTATTTTGGTGTTCAAGGAGGTGCAGTGGAACTACCCTCGTATTTTATCGCATGGCAATGCATGGAGCGATACGGACGACGTTGGGTGTTGTGTGTCTTCATGTGTGTTGGAGGCTTGGCGTGTCTCAGCTGTGTTCTAGTACCAGAAGGTAATTAAAATGTTGAAATAGAGGTTTTCCACATAGTAGAAGCTGTTTGAAATATTTTTTTTTTCGAAAATTAATTTTGATTTTTGGTTCCCTCAAAATAAATCTGCAAAATAAATCCGCAAAAAAAAAACGAATAAAAACGCTGTTATTTAAAATATCGAATATTCTACTACCAGTTCAGGAAGAGGAAGCGTCAGACCTGAGAAGAATTGGCGTAAGAAACTCAGCGGGAAATCCACGAAAAAATCCGAAAAAATAGTATCACTATTTTAGATATTTTGGTTTCTTTGATAAAAAAAGGAATACTCTTAAACAATATATTATTTTATTTAAAGTATCAAATATTCGCATAAATCTAAGATGGTATTAATTTATCTACATAAGTAATTGTAACGCATGCATTGAACCAACTATTTATCAGACTGCGATGAAACTTGCCGAACTCAAGCTAACCTTGTACTACGACACAAAAAAACGGACAACTTTAGAAAATCGAGCATGAATTGTAATTATCATAGTTTTTTAGAAACTTACCAATATTACGAGTACTTATAACTGATTTGAACATTAAACATACATCAGTACTTGAGATTGTAGTACATGAATATAAACACTCCCTAATACGTAATAGATAGAGCGTGTCTCAAGTACTGTGAAGTCAATGGTGGCGTTAATCTATAATTAATTTCAAATGTTATCTGGAAGGAGTTATGATATAAGTATGTTTATTCTACAAAATTACTATCTTTAATATTAACATAACTTCGAAAGTATTGATTTATTGGCTTGTTCTTAGCAAAATATCGAAGTTGTTTTTTTTAACAGATGTATTGTTTATGGAATGAAGAGTGACATATTTTTTTACCCTATTACTGTTACTCATTTTTCTACGAAAAGCGAAACAAATATGAATTTCATAAAAAATATTGTATTCAGCCCTTTTTTAATGACCCTCTGCTGGGCACGGACCTCTCTTTAATACGAGGGGAATCAGATCATAGTCCACCATACTGGCCAATGGCTGGATGCCGGTTGGCGCAGAAGATTTCTAAAAGAATCTAACTAAAACTTTCTAATATTATATTTTCTATCTTTCAGCATGGCCGTGGATAACAGTATCTCTAGCGATGCTAGGCAGATTATGTGCTGCAGCATCCTTCGCGGTGTTCTACGTACAGATTGGAGAGCTACTTCCTACGGTGGTACGGTCTCAGGCGATGGGCGCTTCATCCTTTATAGCTGGCCTTGGGTTACTAACTTGCCCATATATAGTGTCTTTGGTAAGTTTGTTTTTCTTTAGTGTTTTAGCAGACAGGCAAGCATGTGCCTATGGGATATGTAATGGGGCGTTAAACTGTGGGGATCCTTCCACTATATTGGCAGGTTTGCCGACTTCACATATCTTTCTAAAACTTGCTAGTTTGTCTTAGATATGCGAGAGTTTCCTCATGATGTTTTTATAACTAGCAGATTATGGTGACCCTCATGAAAATAATTTAAACATGAACGTTTTCAAGGTGTAGGATTTGGGTTTATTTCCTTAGGTTTTCTAAGCGAGCGTAATGTCCATGGGATTTATTAATCAGTTTTATGTATACTTTTATGGATATGCTTGTATTTATAAATTATATGTATGTATAATATGAACAACTTTAAATTAACAAAAAAAACTGATTTGACGGGTACACTCTGTAAAAATTACATATATGTTATTTGGGATCTTACAAAGATAAAAAAATATAATTTTTATGATCACAAAGTTTTTAAATATATCCCCTAAATGAAACTTCGTTAAGCTTAAAAATAAAAACGCGAAATAAACCAAAAATTTATTTTATCTAAAGTAAAATACAATAATAAACTAGCGAACTAGCTGGGTCAGAAATATCGTTGGATACTTAACAGTAAGTCTGTTACTCCATGTCTAATTATATTTAATATTTCAATTTTATTTCAGGCGATGTATTCAAGAGTGTTACCCCTAATCATCATGGGGGTGTTGAGTGTAGTCGCTGGGATAACATCCCTCTTCTTACCAGAAACCTTAAACCAACCCCTCCCTCAAACTCTGGGCGACGGAGAAATATTTGGCAGAAATTTTAAAGTTCTAAGTTGTGTAACTAGATGAATTGAATAGTTAAAATTATTTAAAATATCTCAATGTTACTTGTAAGTATTTAGATAGTTTTAGTTTTGTATAAAGAGATTGGGGCTTTCGATTACTTTTGGTACCTAACTAACAAAAGTATTTGTTGTTATTCGAAAATTGCATACTGTATGGCAGATTTCATGTTATGATAATAGGGAATATGTGTGTGATTTAAATAAAGGTGATTTTTTTTTCATAATCTTTATTGCTTTTGAATTAAGCCTATGTCAATATATTTAATTTACCTAATTTCTTTTTGACTGAAAAAATAATTATTAAAAAGCGCAAATATAGGTGGTGAATTCAAAGTAGTTGAAACGCCATTGGTCAAAGTACGTCTGTCGTAACTCGTAAGTCCATAACAGAGTGATTAGCGATTTTGCTACAAAATGAGTCGTCATTTTTGTGTGTATCATACTGTGACGTCACGCTAAGCGCGCGAAATGGCGGGCATTTAAGTATCCGTATCGGTACTTAAACATTTTTTATACTAAATTTTAGTTTTTTTGGAGCTGGATATTTTATTATATAACCATGTTAGCTATTGTATAAAAAATTTAAAATCACGCATATTCTCTATTGTGTTAGTCAGTTGTAAGTTTTTAAAGATGACCTTATTGCATTGTGTATATAATACAATTATTAATCGAATGCATTTTTATTATATATACTAAAAAAATTGTGTAAAAATAATCTAACGTATACCTTTAGCTAAATATAAAATCACAGATAACAAAATAAAATTATCTTTTCGGTTTTTTTGCGGAGTTATTTAGATTTTTGATTCCCGACCTTTTTGAATGCTTTTTAAAAGATAGTTTTATTTAAAATTTTAAATATTCGCGAAAATCTAAGAAAGTATTATTAGTTATCATAAATAGCACTTTGCAGGTACATTATCAATCACAAAAGTTTGGTAGGCACTTGTTGGTTATCTGATTACTAATCACCCTTGGCTTGATCCAGTGTTGAAAAAAAGTTTTTTTATAATCAATTTGTCAAAAATCTGTTTAGACTAGAATAAAAATGTAAATCTCTGTAAAGGGGAAAAGTCATCTTACTCTCTCTCTTTTCTTGATTTTGTGATTTTTAATAAAACATCTATTATGAAATTTTATAATGTTTTTAAAATTTTACTTCAATTATAAATTAGTCAATAAAGGCGTTTTCACACATTGTTAGCTCTGCACAGATCTGTCATAATTTACCAACCTTATTTAATATTATTAAAGCTAAAGTAGATTTTCGCTTTGTTGCTTTTATATAGCTCCAGAGCAACGAAATTGGCATGAAATTTAACAAAAATAATGTATTAGCTGGAAAGTGAAAAATAAGTCTTTTGTCCTAGTACACAGAGTCCACATTTGACGTAACATAATCATTTCTTTTAAATACAAGTGCATTCATTCGAGAGTCGAGACGCAGGTCTCTATAAAAATACAAAATCGATCAAATGCGATTTTCTATGTCAACTTGTTTAGTGACTAATCGCGCGATAATACTCGACAGTGTGAATTCATCGTTAGGCATTTTATAGTTATATATAGTGTAAATAGTTTAGAATATTTCGTGCCGGGAATATGTAGAATCTTTTATACTTATTTATGTTATTTAGTGTTCTTAATTTTAGATCAATAAATTGATAATGCATTGTAAATATTAATTATAATATATATAAATATATTGACATGACTGGTTTTTTATTTTTATCTTACTATATATGTGTACGCGCAGACACAAGAGCACTCTCTATTCCTGTCATTCTCATACTCCAGTGGGACGACAGTTTGACACTCTCGATAAGACCGACGCCTCAGACGCTTAACGTGTTCTCCGAAGCATGGAGGTGAGACATCGCCAACTTCTCAACTTCGGACAGTTCTGAGAATTTCCTAACAGAAAAAGTCATTTACTTGACCTAACCCGGGTCTCAAATCCTGGACCTCCAAATCTGTCATACATACTAGACCACCAAGTCAGTTAGTAGGAAGTGTAGGGCCGTAGGTGGGTACTAACTACCTACTAATACTTACATTTCATTTTGTCAGCGTGTGTATTATGAAAACATGAAAAATCAAATTTAATATTTTCTCTATCGAGTCATTCCATAGAACAAAGTCTGTAAATAAAAAAAAATGTTGCTGACTTTATTATTCAAGATATCTAAACGTTTAAAATGGCATTTTAAAGGGGAAAGCTAATTTTTTTACCTGATAAAAATTCTCTTAGTGAATAGGTACCTGTCATTAATGACAGGGTGCAAACTTTTAGTATTAAAATATCAATTCTTTTTTATAAGATTTAAAAGTTAGAGCAAAATCTAAAATTACTCAACTTTGCCAAGCAGACGTTTTTATATGGAATGACTATCCCATCCGATTCACTACTAGTTGTTAATTTAACATCTTTATCTGATGCTTTAACCTCGTAAAGGGATAACGCAAACATTTCTGTCATCTGTATATTGACACGTGTATCAATTTCATAGTGATCTGTTCTGGATAGAAAAACGTAGAATTAGAATAAAAACCTTCTATATATATATATATCAAAATATTTGTGAGAGAACTTCAAAGCAATTCGGGGACGAAATTTTAAAGATTTGCAATTGTACAAACTTAAACTTACATTTTAAAGACATTGTTATATGTATAATATTCTAAATGTAATTTGTATATGTACTTTTTGCTCAATTGATATCCGTTTCCGTGGTGTAGCGGTTATCACATCTGCCTAACACGCAGAAGGCCCCCGGTTTGATCCCGGGCGGAAACATATCTTTTGTTTTTCTTTTTTATATTTAAACCATGAACGAGTTAAAATTCGTTCATGATTTAAACATATGATACCTAAAAAATAATTTTAATAGCATTATAATTAACTTCTAGTATGTTTTTAATTATTAAAGTTACCTTACATTATTGTATTTTTTATATGACATGGGAGTACTTTAAAGATTTTTTAGAACACATACAATTATAATTATTATAAAAGAAAAGCATGTAGAAAAAATTTAAACTGATTATCTTAGCCTTTTCATTATCTATACTAATATTAAGAAGAGGTAAAGTTTGTGAGCTTGTGACGTTGCATTATAGGGGGTAATCTCTGGATCTACTGTAACCGATTTAGATGAAATTTGGTAAGAAGATAGATTGAGACCCTGGGAAGGACATAGGATACTTATTCCGGTAATCATCCCTTAAAAGGGTGAAGATGCGGATGAAAGTTTGTATGGGTAATTATATTAGCGCCATCTATCAAAAGTTAACAGAAATAGCTATGATCTATTTAAACGTATAGTTTTAAACTAGCTGGCGTATCCATAGATATTGGCAGTGCCATCTATAGGAAGAATAATAAACAATTTCGTATTAACTTTTACTGTTTTATTTAGTTTAGCTATTTACCACTAGATGGCTGTATTTTACGATTATATAATTTTGTTTAGTTTATAAAATATAATTGTATTGAAGAACATTATTACCAAGTTTCAAGAAATTCTGATCATAAATATTTTTCTGAGTTGTATTATGAAGTGTTTTCCTATGGGATTGAGATAATCTCCCACTGTAAAAAGTACCCTATGTCACTCTCCAGCCTTCCATTTATCTCCACACTAAAAATCTCGTCAATACGTCATTCCGTTTCGACGTGAAAAAAGAACAAACAAACACACTATCACATTATAATATTAGTATGGATTTTGAAAGCTTATATTTTTAAATCGGAGTATGAAAATTTTAAAAGGGAAACAGATATCAAAAACGATCATCAAAATATGTTGTCTTTGTCACTTTATTGCTTTGTTATTGCCACTGTATCTCCATAACTGCCAAACATAATTTATATTTATTTATACAATATATAAGTAAAGATTTTTAAATTTCAACGTTTTCATAATACTTTGTTAGATTTATGCGTATATATATAAATTTGACATTTTAAATCAGACTATCTTTTTGAATTTTCCGGTGAATTTATTTTGATTTACCTTACTTGTCTCTCCTATAACCATGCTTGCATCTAATAAGGGCATTTGAAACGTCCCATCAGGTACCCAGTATCGAAATAATTTAGATATAAAAATTAATTTCGCAAATATTTTAAAGTCCAAATTTGAACTTGGTACAAAACTGAAACTAATATTAATATTATACTAGCGACTCATCCTCGCTCCGCTCGGGTTCGTCCCTGGCTACGTTTTAACGGTTAGTAAAAAGTATCCTATAGGTATGTTGACCCGGATAACCAGTTTTCAACATATCAAATTTCATCAAAATCTATCCAGTGGTTCTCTAGTGATGCATTCCAAGACAGACAGACAGACAAAAATCTAAAAACTATAGATTTGGCCGCTGTATCGATAATAATGACTATTTCAATAAGATTCTACAAAAAAAAAGTTAGTGTACAGATAGAATTTTATTATATGCATAAATGTCAAATATTCGCGTAAATCTAAGAAAGTATTATGTAACTTTGACCGATTTCACCAACAACCCATAAGCTACCACCTACGTATGGGATCCCTAGCTTAAAAGTCCCCTAAACTAGCCCCTAAATTAAATTTCGTTTTTCGATCGTCTTTAAGCACATATTTCAAGCACCTAAATTTAGGGGGCCTTTTAATATTTAGGTGACCCCTAACTGTCGGTGAAACAGAAACTGTCCCCTAACAGCCCCCTAACCATGCTTAGGGGATCCCTTGAACTGAGGTGACATTGGTGAAATCGGGCATAAGTTTTGTATAAAGACGTAGCATAAACTAGTGAATGTCACGCATAATGCATAGACCGCATAACGCACATTTCTTATTGCCTTACGCAACGCTTTGTAATTCTAAACCACTTATAATTATACATACTACTTTAGCAAACGGTTTTGTCTGCTTTTGTATATTTCTAGCGATAGTTACAAATTAATTTTCTAAGCAGCTTTTAAAATATTAGTTTTCACGGAGTTTTGTAATAAAA